CATTCACTCATCCAGAAAAGCCAATCCCCACTCCCCACCCACCCGAATTTAATCTCAAGCAGCCACATTGAAATAATATATACATATATATACTATGAAAGGAGTCATCACTGTCCAAAAAAGGGCATGTCCTCGAGGAGCAAGATTCTCAAATTACACATTTATCCTAACAATTCCCAACGGTCTTCAATAAACTCAGCTTTATCCATACCCAGAAAAATAGATGACGTCGTATGTCCCTTTCGTGCATTATGTTTCAATACAGTGTTCCCTACAATAATTGTATAGTACTGATTCTGTGCGGCTCCGTAACAGTGCTATTGATATGACCTTTGCTAAACCCAACATCTGCAAGCGTGCAATTTTGACCGCACTGCAGCGAGTCACACACACACACATATATATATATATATATATTCATAATAATACATATGCCAGACAGTGTTCATGACTTGAATGCAACAATATCATGCTGAGTTGGGCATTGTTATGTTGTAAACAAGTTCAAGTGCCGCTGTGGCTGCTACGTTTTCTAGGAGCAGATGTTTTGATGGAATTGTAGATAGGGGGTCTTTTGTGGCCACCAATGAAGATTTTCAAGGATGCGACCGGCCTGAGTAGGAGGGGTCCATGACAACGGTCGCCAAGCCCTCGCCGTGGACCCTGGTTGGATCTGATTGTTTTGTCGACCTGAAGAGGTGGTGGGTGTCCTGCCCGAGAACTCCTATGGCGTTGTGGGTCACGACACGGAGATCTTCTATGAGGGTCCCGAAATCGAGCGGAAGGTTTTGGAGCGCTTACAGCTCATTCCCTTTGAGGAGTTTGACGGTTTTGGTTTTCATTGACTCTTTTGGGACAGCACTTGAGGGGAATCCACTGGGATTGTTCCACGCGTGAATCTTGACCCTTTGGCAAGATGGTCCATATCCTGTTGTTGACTTCAAGCACTCATGGGATTCCGCAAGGATTTATCCTTCTGCATACTCGAGCCACACTCCCCCCGCCAGCTGGGTGGTTCTGTAGCACCCATCAGTCGCCTCCCTCCAGGAGGGTCTGCCGGAGAAGTATCGGCCGAGCAAGTTGTCGCTGGACGAGGCGAAGCTCTTGCAGGACTTCGTGCGGCCCTACTTCGAGCAACGCTCCACGGCCGTGAAGACGGGCGACGTCTTGGAGATCCAACAGGTGAAATTCAAGGTCATTGCCACCAGACCGGCCGAAGGCGGGCCGGGAGAAACTGGAGAAACACATGTTCTTTTAAAGAAGGGAACCAGTAGTGCGGCTCTAAACACAGGGTTTCTTGGGATGAAGAGCTTTCGCCACGCTCGACACCTTGAAGGTGGTGGAGTTGGAAAGGAAACGGAGTTTGCTTGCCAAGGTGTGGCTCTGAAAGAGTCCTTCAACCCACCGGCGCGAGCAAAGCCTGCTGCAAAGTCAGGTGCTGCAAAGGCAGCTGCAAAGTTCGCTGCAGCCAAGGCCGCTGCGCGAAGTGACGACGATAACTCTCAATGTCAACTTATGTAGCTTCTGCGATGGCCCCGTTGACGGAAAAAGGAGTCGAGCAGTAGCCAGCCAGTCAGCAGTGCGTGTAATGTGAGCTGATCGCGGAACATGCCAAGGACCAACGTACTGCACAAAGCTGTTCCCAAGGTCCTTGAACAAGTTCATGGCGTTCGAAAATAGAGATCCTTTCCAGGCCAAGCAGGAGCTTTGCATCAGTGCCACTTGCGGTTTCAGTCCCAAGTGCAGATGGGGAAGTTGGGGCATGATCTCAAGTGATTCGCCTGCGATCTGTCGTGACCGCAGGAGCAGATGGAGAACCCCAACTGCACTGCATGGCACAGATGGTGTGCCGACCAATACCTGAGGCAAGTGGAGGGGAGCACCGGTGTTTCGACATTGTTTTCAGTTTTCATTGGTTTGGTGAGTTTGGTGCGGAAGGATCCAGGAATCAGTGGCCTGCCGTTTGGACAACTCGTGGTTCGATATTGCACTATCTTGCACAGCAATATGATTTTCTAAAGAGTTTTTGCGATTCGCAGGCTGGCGATGGAAGAGGGCGAAGATATGGATGAAGGCGGGGTGCGGCGGGACGTGGGATTGATCGCCTTTATGAGCCAGGGTTGGATCAGGTGTGGTCTAAAAAAACCGGAGAAACCAGGAATGTCTTCTGCCATCTTCTGCCAGGAGCTGATGGATAGCAAGGGTGGCCGTGCGGCCGTGCGGGCACCGTGCGCGGCCAAGTTTGCCAGGCACTTTGTAACGTCGTCATGCGACCTGGGTGCAATGCCTTGCAACTTATGATGGAAAGCCCCCTTATGATTTACTGTATGTGTATGTTATGACTTTCCAGGGCAGGTCTCAGGTCCAAGCAGCTTCCTCAGGTCCAAGCAGCCAAAGCATTGGCAGAAAGCCAGGCTGCGGAGGTAGCAGAAAGATGCGCTGCACATGGGTGGTGCTTCGATCAAGATCATTTTTTTAGCCAGTAGACTAGGTGCATCGACTCTAGGTAGAAGGTAAAGGGGTGCAAGGGGGGCGATGAGCAAACTCTACATGACCGGTGCCAATTACATCAGTTTTTGCCTTCGAGAATGGGTTGATTCTGGTGAGACTGGGAGGATTGCCATCACTAGGCATTGGAAATGTGTCACCCGTCAGCTATCTCAATGTGCTCTGGCGATGATGGGGGTGCAGATGTGATAAACAGGATCTTGGAGTGCAAGCCACACAACATCTTCAGTCTGCACAGCCATGCCACGTAATGGAGTGCAGTGATGTCAATTCGATGTTTGCACACGCTTGCAAGGAGAAAATGGCGCCCAGCACATGCGCACAAGGATTGCATGTGCATAGTTGTGCATAGTAGTCGTTTCGTAAGCGGTCAAAACATGTCAAAACCATAGGTCAGATCTCGAGCCCATGCCCCTCGTGGACTTTTTTGAGCTTTGTTGATTGGAGAATTCATCTCCTTCAGTCAGTGGATCCCATGTGCCTTAGCTTGCTCAAGCTGAGAATGTCAGCCTCACGCGGCAGAAAGGTGATCGCGACCTTTCAGATTTGCTCTCACCCAGGTCGGGGACATGCCTTCCCTGTACCTTCATGCTTTCAGTTGGAACCTTGTGAGGCAGAAGAGCGAGATGAGAGGGAGAAAGCTGCGGGCGAATTTCTGAAAAGAGTTGGAAGCAAGCTAGCCTTCAACCCAGAGGAACTGGTTGCCATGACACTGGACATTGACATACCTTTGCCAGGCGCATTGCACGGATCTTGTGCGTGCGCTTCAGGAGCAGTTCGGGAGCCATCATGCACCTCGCTCAGCGACATCCTCATGCAGATCTCTCAGGAACTTCGTCCCCAAGTGCTGCTGCATGTGCGAAGCACGCAGAGCACTTTGGAACCCAATGCAGATGAGGAGCTCTTCCCGAGCTCGACGCACGAGGAGCCGACGCCGCAGAAACAGCAGAGCGATGACATGAGGTCGGAAGTCCCGAGCTCGCGCAGAGCGCCGGCGCAGGCGATGCGACGGTTGCAGAAGCAGTCGCCAGCGGAATTGCGGCTGCAGGCGCAGGCCTTGTGGAATGCCTTGGAGAAGGCCAAAGTCTGTATTCCACCACTGGAGGCTGAGAAGCCGGTGGAGAAGTTCCACTTGGAGAGACATGGGCATGGCCGAGGAAACACGAAGAGCACCAAGAAGCGGCGAAAGCGGGCAGATCGAGCAGATCTAAGTGCCGGACTCAGCCACCCGAGGTTCCTCAACTTTTTGAGTTGCTTCTCTTTGTGTTTGAGCCAGCAGGCCTCTTTTGCCACTTTTTAGGCCCCTCACAGCCCTGCGGCCCGTGAGAGCGCTGGAGATGTCCGAGGTCGCTTGATCCTCCACTTGCAGCAGCTGGCGCTGGAGCATGGCATTGAGCCGGATGCGAGCGAGGAGGTGATGCAGGAAGTGCAGGAAGGTGGGAGACTTGAACGCTGTTACTCCCGGGGCAACAGGTGACTTGCCGCACGTCTGCGTGTGCGTGTGGGTGTGTGTCCTAGGTGCAGATTCACGTGTGTGCTTTTTATTTTTTGTCTACCTTAAAGGCCCAAAGTGGTTTGGAGAGTGACACGATTGTGGTTTCCAATCGATTTGTCGGTTCCATTTTGTGCTCCATGTCTCCCCATGTCTGGAACTGGAACCACTTGGATGCAAGGTGACCTACTGACCCAGTGCAGTTGCCTGGATGTTTGGTGCTGGATTTGAAACATGCGAGGGTCATATTATGGCTTCATGCAACCCTCCGATTTCTAAGCCTCCAAAGTCTAAGCCCTTCAGGTTCATGGCAATGAGGGCCGTGACTTTTCTGTTCACATTTGTAGGCCTAAAACCTGGCCCCCACGCAAGATTCAGATCATTCTGAATGATGCTTTCACTACTCAACATGGAAGAGTTCATCTATTGGAGCAGTTCCATTCATTGTCCAATCCTGCTGAATGGGCCTTTGTAAATGGGTGCTGCCATATACCAGTGGCATATGCACTATCGTGGAACTCCTTTTGCTGGCCACGCCTGCCGCACCTGCCAGATAGCTCGGACAGTGCGAGCTAACCACAAGCAGAAGGACTCTGAAGATGGTGAACTGCAAGAAGGCACCACCGCAAGAACTTCTCGTGCCGTTGGTGGTAGGGCATGGTTGTCTGCGGAGGGCACGGTGGGGTTTGTCATTTCGCCTTAGCACTTGCAGTGCCAAATCTTGATCTATTGGAGCAGCTGGTCCGAGTGTTCGGTGCTTTAAGTCGTTTGCAGCCAGCTGGTGAACATTGTCATCATTGTGCTCATGGGTAGGTGTTTCTTATTTGGCAGGGGCATACCAGACGCCAATCCCAAAGCCCTTGTGTTTGCTCAGGCAGCTTGACTGCTTGCTACAGTTGTGTAGGCCCAGTGTAAGCCCTTGAGCCACTTGCGCAAACGAAGCTTGCACGTTTGCAACGTTGGAAGTTGTATAGATGGTTCGGTTAGAGAAACCTGGACAGAACGCAGTGGATTGCCCAGCGATGTAGACGACGAAGAGTCCGCCATGGAAGAAACAGATGTGGGGCAATTGCGCTGGTTTCTGTCGATTGCGACTCTGATTGTCGCGTTGCTTGGACAGAAGCAGGAGGGGTGAGGGCCGGTTGATTGGATTTGTCTCCCGCCCATTAGGCTGACTTCAGCTCACAGTTGAGTTGACCAGCTTGAAACACTGGGCCCCTCTGCTAAGCGACAAGGAGAGGGAAAGTAGATGAGGAGGACCAAAATCAACCCAAAACGGACACCTAGGAAGATAGACGGCTACGACTACGAGTCATGCTTGCGGAGAGAGAGAGAGAGAGAGAGAGAGAGAGGGAGAGGGAGAGGGAGAGGCAGAGGCAGAGGGAGAGGCAGAGGGAGAGGGAGAGAGGAAGGCTAAGAAGGGATTGACCCTGACCAGGGATTCTTCCTGGTTCTCCCACCTGCACAACTGCCTCTGATCTCTCTCTCTCTCAATATTTATCCAGCCACAAAAGGGATGACTCGCTAAGCGCATGAGGCTGATCGCCGGAGCAACTGCCCTGCACCGGTCCTCGTGAGGGGCTCGGCTCGCACACCGATTGCTTGCAAAGAGTCGTTGCTGGATGAAAAGGGTGCATTCTTACGGAGATGCCATTTGCACATGTGCCGTGGGTGCTGTAGAGCATCTAAGTGTCCCATAATTCTAGGCCTAAGATGCCCACTTTCTAGTCAAGCGCCGGGGAAGGAGCGAAGAGCAATTTTGCTGGGTTGCATGAGATGGATGCCGTCGGCTGGCGACCTTTGAGGTCGACGCCCAAGGGCCAAGGCAAGAGAAGCAGCCGGTTGCTGAAGGAAGATTCACTAGAACCCAAGGCCAGTGGTTCTTCCGTCCCGTCACCTCTTTCAATGGGGATGGTCCTGTAAAAGCATCATTTTCATGTGTGAGAGGTATGCTTTTCTACTCCATTTGCCAGCTTGCATCGTGTTTGTGGCCTCGTTAAGCACTGGTGTCCATTGATTTTGGCGCCGCAAATGGTTCAGGTCTCAACTCCAGTGGTTGAGCCTGACATTGCTCATTCTCAGCACCAAAAGGAAGAGACAACTGAGAGGTCCAGCGAGTGCGAGGCTCAACTTGCTTTTCCTTTATGTGCATGAGTCCCAGAGTCCCAGAGTCCCTTTTTTTCAGCACCGAGGCCACTCTCGCTTCGCTTCCGCTTCACCCCCAACGATTTGCTGAACGCCCACCTGAACCGCGACCCCGACTCCGACCCCGACCACTCGCACGGTGCTCGTGTTTGGGCGGTGGAGACGACGGAGGACGCGGCCGCACTGCTGGCCGGCTGCCCCATGGACACGGTGATCGCTTGCAGCTTTCATCGTCAGGGCGCTGAACACGGAAAGGCTCAAGCACAAGCTTTGCGGCAGCTGGCACGGGCAGAGCCAGCAGGGATGAGCTTTGCAGAGGTGGAGGGCGCGCGGTCGTGATGATTTCAATTCTATGACAGGGAGCTGGGAGCTGCACATGTTCTGGTGATATATATAATGTGGAACAGACGTGCAGTAGCTTCATGGCGAGCCGGTGAGCTTGGAGATCCTGATCATAGTTTCCACTGCGCCATGCCAACTAGTACCATGTCAACATACTATAACAGCCATAACATACCTCTCTCAAACCACATGGTCAGAGCCAAAAGCAAGGAGAAAATACTGTTTTCTACACACTTTTTTTCCGCTAAGGGAGGCTACAGTAGGTTCGAGCATGCTAGCTCACTAGCCGCTAGATCACTTGCACAGGCCTTGAACTCCGTTGAACTCTGCTGACCTGCAACACTGGGGGCAAACAACTTGTGTCCTGGAACTCATCAGTTTGAAACTCAGCACGTCTTCGTGATCGATCCTCGCCTTCGCGAAACGAGCAGGTGGATCTCCACGCGGCGCCGGAGGTTGCCGCCTGGGCCAGGGTGGTCGCCCCCGAGGTGCGGCTGCTGCAGCCGGACGGGCAGATCCTACAGCGGGTGACTCCACGGGAAGTGGCGACCGGTGCCTTGCACCGCTGGGCCTCAGTGAAGGCAGGCGACTTGGAGAGGTGCATTTTCTTGGAACATCTTGAACCGTTCCTTTTTGGCTGGTAAAGCGCAAGGGAGAGAACCAAGGTTGGAGATGTTTTGTTGTTTGTTCCTGATTTTCCTCCAATCGAGGGAAAGGTCCAGCATCATTGAGCCGTGCCCAAGGATGTTCTTGGAACGTCGCAACCCAATTTCAATCGTGCTGAGCTTTTGCATGTTGGTCCATTGGGCAGAGGCCACAAGCACACAGATATGGAACCACTGTTGCATTATTTCAAGAGCGAATCCAAGGTGACTTGGCCAAAGAAGCCGAGACCAAGCTGGATGCCCTGGCACAAAGATTCCCAGGGGCGCTGTGCGATGAGATGAAGATGTGCACGAGCAAGGAGAACCTGGACAAGATGCAGGCGGCAGGGCACGAACTGCTTGCTCGGAAGTTCTCCGATGCAGAGGCCTGGCTTCGGCAGGTCTGAGGATTGCCATGGCCGTTTCCTTTGAATAAGAAGAGGCACGCAAATCAAGAAGATTTCAAAAAACTCAAACCATGTCCTAGGTGGTCAGTCTCACGCCCACTTTCTAACAACAACCAATCACTCACTGAATCGCCAATCTGTTGTCAAGGTTCCTTCCAGAAATATTGCACCACACCCAGGTGGAGATCTTCCAACGCCTTTGCGACTCCTACCGCGCCCATGCGGTGCCCCGTGCACGCCTTGTTAGCGGCCTGGCGAAGCTCCTGCGAAGGCTGACGACGTCCACGACGGCTCCGGCGACACCGCTGCTGGATCTCAGCCGGCGCCTGGCGGCCTCCAAGCTTCTGGGTGGGTCGGAGCCAGGTGCCTTAGAAGCGCTCGAGCTCCTGCTGAATGCGATCCTCAACCACTCAGAGGCGCCAGAAGCGCCCACGGCGGTGATGTTGGCAGGGCAGTTCTTGGCAAACTGCTTCCATCAACCTTTGGTGGGGGAGGCCCTGCTGCCTGTGGCCGCTGAGGCTTTGCAACTGCCCACTTGGCGTGCGGTGTGGGATCCAAGTGGCCATGCCAAGGCGCGCGAAGCAGTGGCGGTTCTGCTGCTGAATGCCTCGGTGGCCTTAAGGAAAGCACGGTTTCGGGCAAGTCATGGGCCGTTGCTGGAGCAGGATGGGGCAGCACCAAAATTTGTTTGGCCAGTTCTTGCTGCATTTTTTCTGAAATGTTCAATGTTCTTGTGTTCTTTTCTGGGCTTGTTCCTCAATGATAGAGCCATGCTTTTTTCTTCTCAAGGCCTTGGCTGCCTTGAAATGCCTCCCCACCGACGAGCGCGTGAACTGGGCCGTGGGGAACTTGTTGGCGATGGGCGGCGGCCCCGACGAGGCGCGACGTGCACTGGCGAGCCTGGCGCCGTTGCGCGCGTTGGCGGCCGCCGTCGTTGAGGGGCAGCTCGACGGCCCCGAGGGCGTCGCTTTTCCGGCCGCCTGGGGCCCAGATGGGCGGCGCCAGCACGACCCACAGCGGCCGCAGCGGCCGGCTGGGAGGCCCCGTGCGCCGGTGCCAGCGAGGTATCGGCGAGGGGGCGGCTGAGGATAGAGTGCTGAATCTGAGCAAATGGTAAGATATGGTAGGATTCAGGCATGTAGAGGCAGATTCCATACCTATTCATAGAAATGTTGATGTGGATGTGGATGTTGCGTATTGTGGTGGCTTGAAGGGTTCAATGATACACAATTGTGTATATAATTGGTACGCAAGCTGGTTGCCTATTTGCTCATGTGTCACGGGGACCTATTGCCACCTTTAAGCCAGTGAAGGCATGTGCATCTTGCTGGGATTGCAACTGTTGGAGAGACATGTTGACAGCAATGATGAATTTGGGCATGATTGGGCAAGAGAAGAGAGGAGGAGAAGGAGAAGGAGAAGGAGAAGGAGAAGGAGAAGGAGAAGAACCAGAGAGGGAAAGAGAGGGGAGAAGGGCCACCAGAACTAACATGCATGACAAGGGAGCGCTGCGGATGCTGGCACCTAGTTGAACCGAAAGCCGTATCGCTCCCATGCTGTGATGCATCATATGAACCCCAGAAGTCCAGAATTCAATCGCTCTGTCCCGCAAGAAGCACCGTCTGAGTGCGAATCTGGTGGTGTCCCTCGTGTTGCAGCCTTGTGAAGAAGGGTGCACATCCGCAGATTGCGCTGTCATGAGTGGAAAAGAATTGGGGTGAGCGTGGTTGACGTCACCCTGATATCTTTGAGATATCTAGCATGTGGATGATTCGGGGGAAGGCATCCTCACAAGCTTTGCCTCAACTCCGTTCCTCTGGTAGCACTCAGCTTCAGAATGAGATACGAACAATTGCGCATCCAACGATTCTGCCGGAGGAACGTGCCACTCTCGCCCTTTTGGATCCGAGACGCCACCAACGGACGCTGTTGCGACACGTGCGCTCCAGCAGCATGTACCACTTCCGGATCGTTGCAGGAATAAACGCTTGTGACTTAGGACCGACGAATTGCAGGAACCGACCCCTTTGTGTGCCTTATATTCAGCCACAGCAATTGCCTCCAAGATCGCCAGGTCGGTCATGATGCCGGGCTTCAGCATTGGTGCCGAGGCAAAGGGTGCAATTGGTCCGATGTCGTCGTCCAATTGACCTTGGGAGGGTCACCTTGGGGAAGGATTGTGCAACATACAGTGCAGGTCAGGGGCAAGGACTTCTGTTTTTTTGGTTGTAATGTGTGTTGTGTTTGTTGGGCAGCTGCCAATCTAGAGGTGGACGAAGTGAATCTTGCTTTCCAGAGCATCCCCCATACAGCTCAGCAGGACTTTCACTTTGTCAGATGGTTCCGGACTACCCGTGTTCTTGCCAACAAAAAGGTCAATTCACAGTGGAACGGCGGGTGGTGACTCGTCTCGTCGAAATCGACGGACTGTCCCTTTTCCAAGAGCAGTGGGGGCTGCGTAGTTTTGCTGTATGGCTGCTAGTGATAGTGCATATGAGGGGTGTTTTCCAATCTGGCTTTACTGGCTTTTGGGCTTCAAAGTATGAAGATGGCTTCCACGCGCCCCTGGAGGAATACTTGTTACTTGTGCTTGGAACATTGGTAGAAAGATGAGCTTGATGTGACTTGAAGATTTCCAACTCAGCACTTCATAGATGTTAAAGGAGTTTCGACTTGGTGAAACGCCTCGAGTTACCATTCTCTTGCGCTAGCCATAATCATGGATTTGTGTTGGGCGAAACTTCCCTTTAATTTCCTGAGCCTTCTTTGGACTTTTGGCCCGCAGCTTCCCACAAGTGGCAGGCTATGCCCTGACTTTCAGTTTTGCAACAAGGAATGCGCAACATTTGGTCAGTCCAATTTTTGTTCAGGCCACAGAAAGAGTCTTCGGCGTACCAAGAGAGGTTAGTCAGTCAGTTATATAGTTTGTTTGTTTGGATTCCTGCAGTTCTTCCCAGCAAACACTGAAGCACAACACATGAACAACCGGCACGCATTCTTCCACGTGGACATGCTCCTCTCGTATCTATATCATTCTATATCTATATAGCTATCTATCTATATATTATATGTGTATATATATATATACAGTATCCTCTCTTATATGTGTAATTAAATGGGTACTGTACATGCATACACATGTTGTTAATACATGCGCGCATTTGTGTGGACCCTCCGAGGAGCTACAGACATCCTGCCCGTGACATCAGTTCCGTTGGTTGTTCTCCCTGTTCGAGACGAGCCAGGACGGCTCCAGATCGCCGGCGGAGCGGAGCGAGTCGAGCATACATGCGAGATGGACCCCTTGGAGGAAAAATGGAGTTCATTTGATGGGCTTGGGAAGCTTGGAAGGGCGTTCCTGCAGCAGCTGAGCAGGGTTTGGAGAGATCCAGAGGCCATCAGTTCCAGGGTTCGATCAAGCCTTGGAGTTGTCGAAGGCAGACTGAGACAGCACAAACAAAGAGTGGACAGTTTTGTGGGAACATCTGATTTGGGTAAGTTTATGCAGCAAATGCTTCAAGTCTTTTTTGCTAGTCCAGGGGGTATCGAAGATCCTGTCGGTTTTCCAATCCAAATTGCGGCAATCGAGCGAATCCCTGGCTTGGCTTCAGCTGAAGTTTTGGGGAGTAGCAGGCAGTAGGTCTTTGTGTTTGCTGGTTTTGGTGCGTGTCGGAAGCCCAGACTGCAGCACGTTTATCTTCAGTACTTGTTTGGAGAGGAAGACGGCCAAGGCTTTGTGTGAATGCAACGATGAAAATAACGCTGAAGTATGAGGACCGATGACGTGGTGACATTCCAAGCACATGATGTACATGAGGAACTTTGAAAAAATGCCAAGCTTGGACACAAAGATGCATGGCTTGAACACCAAGCTGCTCTCGAACAGTTTTCAATGACAATTGAACTTGGCGTTGCCAGGAGGCCCCCACAGAGGACTGAGAGAGAAAGAGAGAGAGAGAGAGAGGGAGACAGAGCGAGCAGATTGCAGCCTTTGCAGTCCAAAGACTGGGGTAAGATGGAGGCGCGAAAGAAACAGCACGTTCATAAGAATGCTGCATGCAACCCTGGAGTTTTGGCAGGGGAGTTGACATCATGCGGTGGTGTTAATTAATATATATATATAGAGAGAGTATATAGCTCTTCCATATATGTATATAGAGAGAGAGAGTATATAGCTCTTCCAAAAAACTGCAGCTTATGGAGGAACATAACGAATCGTTTTCCACATTTTCAGATGTCGTTCGGAAGGACCTTCATTTGACTCTCCGGCTGACCTTGCCGCAGAAGTATGTGAACGGGACCAACAAGGAGGCTGTCATCAGTGGATTCCTGTCACGTCCACTGGAGACGGGCCAACTTCAAGCGTGATGTGCCAGATTCAGAATGCGGAGTTGCGCTGGTCGATTTGGTGAAAGTTGAAAGGGTTCCCAACATTTTTTCCCCTTGCTTATCTTGCTACTTCATGCCGGTGTTTCACTGGCTTTTGCGCCAAGATTTTCAGCATCAGAGACATGCTTGGAGGTTGTCAAACTTTTTGTGGACCACTACAACAAGACGCTTTCTGGCAATGTTCAGACGACCTTGAAATCAAGAGAGCAGATTGCAGCTTTTCCCGCAAGCGCGTGCCAAGGAAACATGCTGAGAATCCCATTTCGCTGGAGGAACTGCATCTGAAAATTGCTCGAGCCCAAGCCACAACACCAAGCTCAAGCTCTGGCTGCACGTTCATGAACCTTGCAACTCAGGTGGGAGGGATCCATCTTGACAACGAAGATAGAGTCAAAGAGTCCTTATCGTCCCAAACCGAGTGACGCGCCATGGGCCACGGCTTGACAACTTTTGAGGCGCGCTGCTGGTGTTTCTCTTGCCCAGGAGCGGGGATGAATGCTACCTCCTTGGCAAAGATTCTGAGGGGTGCGTTCCTCAGCCAACCAATTCACTTCAGTTGGGGGCTCTTGGCTGTGACGGGCGATCGTTGCCGTGATGGGGTCTCTCAGGCCAAAGTCCAAGCCAGAACAGGCGCGTTGCATCCTTGAGAGTGAGCAACCTGCGCGCTTGTACCAAATCTGGCTCAGGGCTACTCTGCCCCTTCTGCTCCGAAAGAAGCGAAAGAAAGCGCTCCAGCAGACAAGGCCGTGCGGAATGGGAATGCACATTTTTAATCATTTTTATCTATGTGCAGCGGGATTGGAGACTGGGTTTGTGTTTGCAACATGGGTATCGCCGCCCAGTATGACAGCAAATTTTTGTTGAATTCGAGTGCTGGGGGGGGTAGGGCGGCCCACAAAAGTGTAGAGTCAGGTGGTGAAGAACGCTGATGGCAAAGTAAGGTTTGGAACCCAATTTCAACAGTTGATCCACTCAGCCTGTTCAGTTACCAGTAGCGTCAGCGATGCACCTTGTTCCTAGTGGCTTCTTGTTACTAGTGACAATGGCCATGCACCTTGTTACTAGTAAGTGGCGTCCTTGCTGAGGTGTAAAAACTTTGGTTGCCAAAAGTTTTACGATCCTGATGGGCGAACCCCTCAGCGATGCCAAACACTGCCTGTTCCGATGTGTTTGTTTGTGACCAAGACCAAGGCCTCCGCAAGAGTGCGTCCATCACAAGGTGCGACGTGCGAGATGACATGAATGACGTTCTGGCTCTCCTGAGAACCCCAGCTGCAAGTATTTCTTGGAATCCACCATGTTCTCCTGTCCAGTCTGCGCCGATATTCCACGAGACCGCGAAATGGTGGTGAAGACCTCAGGTGATTAACGTGGATGCGGGGATGGATCTTAAATCACTGAGGTCTTGTTGTCCAGATAGCAAAGCTTATGACTTTGATGAGTCCATGCCTCAGTTCAGCTCATCCCCAAAGGACAGGACTCTGCGAAACTTCAACAGTTCGGGTTGAATACATCAGGTCTTAGGCAAAGCTGCACTTTTGGTCATGACATTGGTCTAGCAAGTACTTATAGCAAGGATGGTCCAAGTCTGTTGGATGACCAGCGATCATTACATTAGACTATTCCTGCATTTTTGTGTTCCGGTTTGAGGTTCATGAAGATTCCTGGATGTACACAGGCAGACCAGAGTGGCTCATTATTTTGGTATGATGGCTGACCCGATCCATCGTGGTTTGCAAACATCATGTCATAATATGTCCTTCCTCACCGTGAGTGGATGCTATAAGAAAACGACGATTGCCAAGGGTTTTCAAGGGTCATCGATGCGCAGTGTTCGGGTTTCGTTGGTCCTGGCCCGCCGCTCATTCCTCTATGGTGGGCTGCCAGGGGTTTTGTACGAACGAGTCCCAGGCGAAAAAGGCCGGGCGTCGTGTTTCGGTCTGAGTTTCCAGCCCTTCCGCGCGGCATTTGTTCGGATTCGGAAGGAATGTGGGAAGCCATTTGAAGCCATTAATCCTAGCGATGGCAGTCCTACCTAGTAGCGATGGCCTCCAACCTACTCGCTTTATAAGTTAAGCTTCCTCTAGGAAACAAATGTTCAAGGAAGCTCTCCCTGCCCTCAGGCGGGGGCAGCTTCCTTGAAGAAGTGTGAGCTATCCTGCGTCCTACCTAGTAGCTTACAAGTAGGCGCCTACTAAATTAAGTAGGCAGGGCACGAAGCAAAAACAAATCTTGATTCTCTCAGCACTTGTCGGTTTGCAACCTCCAGAGTTGCTTGTGGTGTTGCCTTTGCGTGTTGTTTCCAATGACTTTGTGGCTTCAAGCTGGTAAGAAAGATGGACAATCGGCGAACAAACCAAGAGCCGCATGGCAAGGGACAATGGAGAATGGGTTCATTTTCTATCCCTTCCCAAGCAAATCAGGGTAGCACCAGCTTCCGCCTGTGTTTGATTGGAATCATTCGACACAGGATGAAACAAGCTCACTGGTGGTTGGGGGTTGGGAGCTTCCCCAACATCCGCACATGTCGACACCAATGAATCCAAGACCAAAGTATATATCAAAAACAACATGAGACCATCGATGTCGAGCTGTCAAACAGCATCAAGCCACGTCCAAAAGGACCAATACACAGCCCCGCTGGGGGTTGTTCAGGAACCAAGTCAACCAGGTCCACCAGAAACATCTCTTCCCACCATCTCCTAGTTTCCCGCAAACGCATTGACGCCCCGCACCTTGGACTCACTGCAACAAGTCGGCGGGACTTGTTGTGCCACACTCCGCCATGGATGTCACGGCACAAAGCTTTGCCACATCCCTCCTGCGGCGCTGCTCCCGCCGCAGCGCCAAGCGTGCCAAGCACCAGCCCCGCCGCGGCGCCAAGCGGAGCGTCGTGCGGCCGGTGGCGACGCCGCTCCGGGGCGAGCGGTGGGTCACGGCGCCGGTGTGTGCTGCCTGTGGGTGGACGCCTTGCGAAGCTTGGACTTGAGGACTTGACATGACTACAGAATACAGTATAGTGACTAGTTTCAGATCCTTGGGCCAGGTTTGGGCATTATGAATTATACTCCTTGCTTCAGGAGGAGTTGCAGCGTTCGGGCCACCATCTCGAAACGAGGTTTGCTTGGTCCAAATAATACATCCTACCACAAACTGCCACCTTACCAGGACTCTCTTGAAGGGCACTTCTTCGTTGGCTCAAACTCACACCACCCCTCCAAGCACCCTAAATCACCTTATCTATGAGGTCTTCAACTGCCTTTTCATGCCTTTTCCATCTTGGTTAAAAAAAGAAATCACCGCGAAACCCGAGGCCTGCAGCTTTTTGGAGATGGACCCCTTCCACCCGGTCTCCGCCGTCTTGGCGCTCACGCCTTTGGCACCCGCACCTCTTCGCCCCGATGCCAGCTCGGTCGCAGCCTTTGCTGAGCTGGAGCTGTCGGGGCTGGAGCAGACGCTGGAGCAGACGCTGGAGTTGCGGATGGCGAAACGGGATGGGAAAGACCTGGTGTGGCCATTCTCCTTGAAGGTGGGCCAGTCAAGTTAGCAGAGTTCTATGAAGTTCTGGACAGCTTTGCTTCTTTAGCTCAGGGACTCCTGAGTGCAAAGGTGTTTTGGGGAGCTACTTGCCATGCGAAGCGCTGGAGTAGAAGACACATAAGGAGGATAAGGAAACATCAAGTGCCATTGCTGCTAAATCTGCCAAACTTGATGACCTCATTGATCTTCCTCCGTTCGACGGGCTCACAGGTGCTCCTGGATGGCGTGGAGATCGCACAGGTCGATCCACCCCGGGAGGGCAAGCGCCAGGATGCACCGTTGCAGCTGCCGCTTCAACGACAGGCACCGGTGGCACGGTGAAGATCCCCAAGAGAGACTTGTCAAGTGACGGACATCTGGGCGCCAAAAGGAACCACAATCACAGCCCCAGTGGAGCTTGCTCAAATGGAGATGTTGTCAGACTCGGGGACGCAATTGACAGGGACTCCAAAGCTGCAGGGAAACTCCTTGGTGGTCAGGCCCATCCTTTCACTTACCAATGGCCGAGTCCACACCACCTCACAAGATGTTCAGATGTTCGAATCTCTCCACTCCACACACAGTTATATGGTGGAGATCTAATTAATAGCAAGGTATACGGTGGTCAGTACGGAGCAGCTTCAGGTTGAACATGGGGCTGCCGTGCTATCGTAAAGACTCTGGCCACTGAGAAATCGTTTGTGGTTTTGGCTTGTCGCAGATGACTTTCTTCAGGATGTCTGATAGCTTGAGTCAGCTTTCAGGCGAAATCCATGCGCCACGATCTGCAGCTGCTGGCATGGGACGCCCCAATTGGAACGATGCTTGGACGAAAGCTTCAAATCCCATTCGAGTCCGCTCGAATGGAGGTCGTGTGCCTTAAAATGGACCCACAAGACCCAAGGGACAAATCCACCAAAACCTTGAGGGATCTCCAAAGTTCAAAGACATCATGAATGAAGCGTTGCATTTTTCAGCTGGCTTGAGGTGAGAGGGATCAGACACTTCCATCACAAGGATCTGCAGCGCAACCTAGGGGATTTGCCGTTTTGGACCAACTCTGAGAAGGATGGGCTTTTCTATAGACATTACCTTTTTTACATTTGTTTACATCTCTTTACTCTAAGATCTGGAAGTGGTATTTGACGGAATTTCGGAAAATCCTTCGAATGTCCAAGGGACTGGCATGCCGCGCGTGACTTGGTGCTATGTGTGGTTCGGACCCGTTCCAGGAGTGTCGCCCGGACGCGCGGTCGACCGCGAAGGGACCTCCCATGGCCATGGGGTTGAGTGATAGTTGCCAGTCCAGTTGCGACAATGCCACTTCTTGATGTTTTCCATGATCAACCAATTTATATGGAGTTTTGGAGGGTGATCAAACGGGTCGGTCTAGTTATTCCAAGGGAAGATGAATCAGGCAACACCGTAGTCGGTCTGTTGGTTAAGAGTTGAGCCCCTGGCCTCAAGAGCCTCAAGAGTTGAGACAGCCTCACGCAGAGAAGATCATTTTGGATGGGGAACCGCCTCATGCAGCTACCACGACTGTCACGACCCCTCAAAACATCGTTCGACCGCACATGAATCGTTCGCATATGCAGGAGTGTGGCTGAGCTTTGTGACGAGTGCCGGCACAGGCCAATTAGAAAGAGTGCCCTTTTGGAAGAGGGAGGTGTTACTGGCGATTCCCCCTGGAACTTGTAGTTTTGCAATGAATCTGTCAATCTTGGGGCTTATTCTCCACCTGAAGTCTCCCTGAGCGACTGAAATCCCATGTCTTCAAGATACAAGCCTTCATCGCTGAAGAAAATAAGGCCTGTAAGAATCCTGTTCCACGCACTCAAAACCTGCTCACATGTCCAGGCCCAGCATCTCTCGGCAGAGATCTTTGGAGTTGCTGCTTGGGAGGTCCAGTGTGCAGGTGAGGAGGGTGAGGAGGACGCAGTTTTCGTCGGACTTCTTTATCTTCTGTTTTGGAACTGCTACAAACTTGGCCAAGCAAACTCTTCTTTCAAAACTCGGCGAAGGGCTTCCAAACGCTTCAAACTCAACATGCTTTGAGGCCACCGGGGAAGTCATGTGCGAGACGCCATGGCTGCAACCTCTGCGGTGCCCTTTGACCATGGAACGGCTGAAAGAACCAGTGAGGGGCCCCTTGGTTTGGGAATTGGGTTGGGAGTCATGGTGTTTTCTTTTTTTCTTCACATTCAAAAAGAAGTCAAAGGTCATCCCGTCGCAACATCGGAAAATCACGTCTCACACCTTCACGGTTCGTGAAAAAGAGGGAACCTCGCTATGGTGGAAGAAAGGAGAATATGGTGACTTGAGACAAGACCCATTTTGGACCTTTCAATCGTGGTCCTCCAAGAAAGAACTTGCGGTTGATTGAGAATCTCATGTTGCTTGGAAGAACGAGTTTCTGGTCGTTTGGATTCCAAAAAGAACAGCGCAGTTGAAAAAAAGCTCCTGAAGCAGCCACATTTCGACACATCCTAGGCTCAAGAGATCTGCCCCCAGGATGACTGGGATGATCATGATGTTCCTCTTCTTTCAAGACTGCTGTGGGTCAAACCTCACGGATCCATTTCGATCCCTCAAGAGGTGCGGAGTTGGTTTCTTCCACCCGAAGCCCTCAACATCTGAGGTCTACACTGCAAACATTTGCAGTGTGTTGAGCTGGAGGCCTTCTTGATCACGGCATCCAGCAGGTGCTTTCAACGCAGGCTTCACCTGTCTCAAACCGACCAGTTGGACAGTGAGATGAGATGAGAAGAGTGAGATGGGCGACCTGTTCGGACCTGTTTAAGTCGATTCAACGCCCATGTTTTCAAGTCGGTCTATACCAGTTCTTGGAAAACTCCGGGTCGCTTCAGCGGTTGATGGCAGTCTTGTTGGTCTTTCATTTGCTCGAACGGGGTTGAGATGCGATCGGCACGAATTGACCAAGTTTCGTAAAATCCCAGCAACATCGAAAGCCTTTTTGATGGCTGGCTTCTCAAGTCAAAGAAGCCCAGAATCTGTGGCAGACGCGACCTGGGCCTGTAGGGATCCTATCACTTGAGGGATATGCAAACGCAGCTGTGGTTTGGGAGGTGGCGCTGCCCCATTTGTGATACTTTGTTGCCACCAAAGCAGCTGGCACGATGTGAACTGACGAGGATGGTGGGCGGAGTTAGATCGATGCGCACGGTCCGGGGAAGATGTCTTACTGTAGAATGTCCTCAGAGCTTCCTCACAATGCCTCTTCTTCGAATTGAGCTCTTTTAGATACTTGCATCCATCTCAGTGTTGTTTGCAACGTTGCAGCGTGTTTTAGCAGGGAAGAAAGGTGTGGTTTCAGTAGTCAAAGGCCAGTGTCCTCAAACTCTGGGTATAAAACCATTGGAAACTTGTTTCTCATTAAATTGCTGTATGCACCCTTGTGGTTGGGTGATCAAGGGTGCCCCTTCCAGAAGGCGCTTCCTTTGCAACATCTGTGAGGAGCCTTCTACAGCACCTGCCTCCAAGCGTTCAAGCATCTCCCATTGATGTTGTCCCGGAGGTTCCTGCCTCAGTGGATGATCCGCGGGCGTGGGATTTGTTGAGTCTGGCAGGAACTTAGTCGAACTTTGGTGCAGAGTCTTGGTCTTGACACAGAAAGGGCCCAAGGGCCTTAGGGCCCAAACTGACCCAAACCTCTACTACCTTCTAACAATGTAATATAGACGTTGTGCAGCAGGTGGGGCTAACTTATTGGAACAGGACGGATTGGCCCCGGGTCGTTTCTCTTGCTGGTTTGTTGTGTCTGGCTGTCCTTTCCACCAGCGAGAAGCCTTGGGCATTGAGGCCTGTAGTTGTGATGCTTGTGAGAAAGATCGGTGTGCAAGGCGCATGTGACTCTCGTGATGGAAAGCGAAGGCTTTTGCTGTAAAACAGACCTGGTGAAGATGTTGCGCCCGCAAAGACATGACCTGTTGACTGAAGGAATGGTAGTAAATTCGCCAACCCCCGGAATACAAGTACGCAGCAGCATATTGGATTCAAACTTCAGCCGAGACTTTTAAACGAACGCTAGCTACTAGGGGAGGCCATCGCTATTAGGTTGGAAGCTATTTGCTACTATTATGTTGAGATGGAAGGCTTGACAACGGGGTTGTGACGCACATCAATTCGCAGGGCGCGGTCGGGCGGCTGGGGCCGACGACTGCGCTGCGAGGCGGGGCCCGGTGGCATCGGTTCCCGGTGGCCATTGCTCTGCATTGGTCATCGCTAAGTATGGGTGATTTGGGAAAATCATTGGAAATGATGGGTCTGGTCTTGGATTCAGAGCTTTTAGGTGAAGTTCTTGCTTTGAGACCAACGCTGTAGGTGAAGAAACCCTCAATGACCGTTGAAGAATCTGTTTGTATGCTTGGAGGAAGCCTTTAGTTGGATCAACAAGCTTGCTTCTCGAACCTCTTTTCTTGTTGCTTCAGTTGTTCTGCAAGCGAGTCGCTTCGGGTTTTCCCTTTTTTTCCAACCTCCACCGCCTTGAAGTGTCATGTTTTACTTCCATGTTTTATCTTGTGGCGTTCCGGCCCAGGTCCAGCAGTGGGGTGAGCTGGACTGAGCGAGCCTTGTGAGTTCGCCTGGCCGAAGAAAAGGGGCCATCGCGTTGCAACGCGACCCGACATCGGAGGACATCCAGATCGATCTGGCTGATGTATTCTCTGGTCCAACCAACGTGGATCTATGAGCGTTTTGGGTGTATGATGGTGTATCGGGTGTATGCTTAGCAGTCCTTTAAATCCCCCTCCATCCGGGCCTTCCCACCCAACCGGACGGACGCTTTTCGGACCACCCCCGGTCCCTCCGCCGCGCGACCTCCGCCAGCGCTTTATGGGCGGCGCCGACCTCCGGGCCGACAGCGCGCCCATCCGGTTGGATGCGGATGCGCCGCCGGACCCACGACAGAAGCTCGAAAGCATGCGACGAGGCGTGGGGTGAGTCGCCCGAAAGGATGGTGAAGTCACGACAGCGGGATCCATGGGTGCGAACGGACGATCGGGGATCGTTACTGGCTGAGGTGCATGGAATGGGTTTTCGGGTAGTTTGGGACGATTTGTAGGATTTTGGAGGCTAGGGATTGCGCAAGCGCCTAGGGATTCACATCCCTTCTGATGAGCCTAGGGCCTAGCTCTTCCCTTCCCATGTCTCTTTTCTCGCCACGCCCAGCAAACCCGGGAGGCTTCGGGTCATGTTTTCCTGCCAGGCTTGGTTGCCGTGGGTGTGGATAGTGCCCTCTTTGAGCAAGTGGTGGACAGACTGGCGCCCAATGGAGACCTCGAAAAGGTGCCGTGGAAGGGCATGGGGGCGGTCGAAGGCCGCAGATGGTTTGGGCCAAGAAACAATTTGCAGCAAGCAAACGAGCAGACTTGCTGTCCAGGGTTAGGCAGACAGTGCAACCAGAAGGCTTTTTGACGCAGGTGTCCTCGGAAACAGTAGAGATTCTTCCTTGGAAGCGCCAGCGAATGTTGTCACATGACTGGCATCGCAGAAATCGAGCGAAACCGGCTCAGGCGTGTGAGGTGCTGAAAACACGTTTCGCTACGGCCCTGAATGCCTTGCAGTGATGATTTCGCGGAGGGTGACAATAGAGAGAATGTGGAATCCTAAACAGGACCCTCAACATCCATAAAGTGGTAATGACCCATGACCTCTCAAGAATACAGTTTAAGTTAAAGCCCTTCGAACTTCAACCTTGCTATTGGACACTCAAGCCTATAGGCTTTGACATTTCAAGAAGACAACGCGAAATCGATCGAAATCGATGCGCTCCGCGTGTCAGCAATTGCTGATCGAATTCGAGAGATTGAATTAATTCTTGAATGAGAAGGAATGCACCATCCAGCAACTTCGAACGGGGTAGAGGTAGAAACCTGTGCAGCAAGGAAGCTCCGACGGTGCTTCACAAGAAGCATCAAAGACGCATCTCCTACGGCAAGCTGCCGATGGAAAAAACGATTGTCGGCAGTTGGAAACTGGAAGGCACGTCAAAATGACTCTGCTTGGATTGACTCATAGGTTTTGAACGTTTGCATTCACCTCACCTAAGCGAGTGCATTTCGGCACAAAGCCAGCCTGAACGGAATCTGGAGCCAAAGAGTTCCAAGCGATGACGCAGTCCTTGACTGCGAACTGGCTCTCAAACAGTCTCATTTGTGTGACCTTGTATGGCTTTTGGGGCTTTCTATCGAAGTTGGCCCTACTTCGAGGTCTTTCAGCTGCTCAAGAAGCAAGCATTCAAAAGTTGGGCTTCTTTATGCTGATGCCTCTCATCATGAAGCCGTCTTCCAACGAGCCCACCGCTGCTGCTCCTCTGTTGTCTCGCCCTAAGACAGCTCTACTCTCGGCCTGGCTTAGTGGAGCTTGTTGTGCCATTGCTTCCATGTTTTACTCCCGAGCCATGGCCCATGGGGATGCTGGAGCGGTCTCTGCGGTCACGGCCAGCTATCCACCCATCACCCTGCTGCTGGGCGCCTTGTTCGCTGGTGAAGAGCTTAGCAAAAGCAAGATCGGTGGCTCCATCCTCACGCTGCTGGGCGCGTACCTCTTCACCCGCCGCTAGGCCCGCGCGGTGCCGGCAAGCAAATCGATTTGCGGAAGTGTTGGGTGGAGGTTGATGCTGACAGGCGCTAATCACCTCCACCGAATGCCAAAGGGCATTGCCATTGTGAACAGCACAATGACAAGGCCCTCAGCTGCAACAAAGAATCAGTGTGGTTTGCAAGGTTCACCCGAGTTGATCAAATCGAAGACCACTTCCACATGTGCGACGTGACATTGCATGCCTGAGGCTTCAGATGTCCGTGCTTGGCTGTAGCAATAGTGTGTCTCAATCTCATTATCTCGACAGTACACACGGACAGACGGTGTGAAACAACTCGGCATGGACGGCCTAGAAGGGTTCCCTTCAGAACGATCTTTCTTTCAAAATGAATCCACCTGAAGTCATGACCAACCGCTCGCATGACACGCAGCTTCCCTGCTCGCAACATTCTACCAAAGCGGTCGGGGATTCAGAGACTTGTCAGTTGTCAGTCGAGCAAGGCAAGGTGCTGACCCCACGAGCGACAGCTTTTGTCCAACTCTGGAGCCCCCGGTCTTGCGCCATGGCGAGCTGGTGAGGCTCCGATGAGCCCCTTGGATTGTGAATCAGTGAAGCTTCCTGCTATCACGGACTTGAAAGAGCAGCTGTCCAAGTTTGCAGTGGGTATAGCCTGTATAGCTGACTATAGCTGGCTTATTAGTGTTTTGATGTCAACCAGGTCGATTAGGATTCATTGCGGGATCTGAAGAGCGTCCGCAAGCTGCACGCCGTGAAAGTGTCACAAAATGAAATGGGGAAAGAAGTACCCATAAATTATATAAGCAACGCTCAATTGGCAATTTCACATTGCTCTTGGTTCTTCCCCTACTACCCAACTTGGTTCCAAGAGCTTCATGGAAGCTGAACCACCACGATGACGCCACATCCAGTCCGGGATGAGGAGAAGATGGTTTCCAAAGGATTCGTGTGATTTCTCCCGTTTTTCTTCGCGCCGTTTTGGAACGTTAAGCCAAGAGCCTCGAGACGTTGTTTGACTTCATGTCTCCTCGTTGGGCTGCGGGGGTGAATGGATGTGAACACGTTCTCCGAGGCAAGAAGAACGTCTTCGGGGAGATTGCCTTCCCCATTGGATCTCAGGTAGACCGTAGACCTTTTTGTTTTTCACCGGAGATGGATGTGGCGGGGTTGGGTCAAGTTGGTTTCTTATAGAGCTCTGCTCTGGGTCATATCATGGACAAACCAACAGGGGGCACGGGTGAACAATTCCCAGACAGGTACTTGAAGCACATCTTCTATGAATGAGAGAACAGCTTCTTGCAACTGTGAGGCTTTAAGCTGAGGTTTCTTGGGGCCTAAGGTGGCCCAAGGCCTCAAGGCCAAGAAGGCACCCACAAGGCAAACCTGCGGATGCATGGCGAGCAAAATCCTGTTCAGAAGAGGGATATCCAGATGCCAGATGGCAAATCATGGGGTGATCTTGTAAAGAGCTGGTTGACTCGGTAAATCTTCCTCCTCTTGATGCTCAACGATCCCCACAAAGGGAGAGGGGACGTGGGGGGGGGGCAGGGCATGCCGCAAATCGCCGCGGAAACCGCCAGGTCCTCTCCGAATATGACCGAGTGCCGTGAGCCTCCGAACCCGCGTGTCGGCCTCCACAGTCGTTTGATCGCAGCCGGGCGGCGGGTGCTTTGCATCGAGAAGGACCGTGTTTTGTGCACGGCAGCTGGAGCACGCTGGATTGCTGAACAGGGATCACAGGACCAAGAACACTAGAGTCACTGGTAAGTCACTACGACCTACTTGCGGTCTTACTCCAAGTGGAGTCGCTGTCACTAGTGACCCTGTGCATGCTGAGTCCCTGGGGACCAACTCCCAGACCAAGATCTTGAGCCCTTCCGACAATGGATCCACGGAGTGACTGTGTTCATTTTGGAACAAGAGACGCTCCTTGGTGACCCTGCCACGGACCAGGTACGGCTGTAAGAAGGTCAGCGTCGATGTGCATCACCGGAACATCACTGGGCCGGACGGGCATCCCAGGAAGTGCCCATGATGGACCAGGGCTATGATGTTGGGGTGAGTTTTGGAGGTTGAAAGGGACCAGATCTTGAAGCATTGGAGAAACCAATTCTGAGTTTTCATTTGTTGCATACTGTAATGTTTTTTTTGTCATCATGTGTTGACGGATCAACTGCAGCCAAAGACCGGGGCTTTGTGAACGTCAGTTGCTCACTGGTAGTTGGGTGACATGAACGCACATCTAGCAATACGGTCGAACAAGCCCGAATACGCCTGCCACAGGGGGGTGTGAATAATCCACGAGAGTTGTTTAGGCAAGATTCAATGATGAGGCAAAGCAAAGGCACAAGCAAAGGGTTTGTCTGACTTGTCATCGGCATGACTTCGGTGAAAATGGTGATGTTTCTTTCACTGGAAGCCTTCGACGCATTGATAGATTGAAACCACCTGGTGGTCCTGGGCAGTGAAAGAAGACTGGATCCTATCACTTGTCACCAAAGGTTGATGTTGAAGTTGTTCAAGTTGGCTTCAAGCAGGAAACCTCAACAAACCGGAAGGAGCCTCAGGGCCCTTCGTTCGCCCCCCGCTTCGAGATCCAAACATTGGCGGGATTCCCACGTCCCCGCGGCGCTCGGATGTGAGGTCGCGGAGCTGACCCGGAATCTCTACTTCACCCGACGTGGGGGGCCTCAAGGCAAGGAAGAACTAGTGCTGGCTGTACCTGTACCCCCGTGAAAGTGCTGGCTGTACCCCCCTCTACCTGTAACAAGAGCTCCTGTTGGAAGGAGTGACTAATACCTACTGCATCCTACTGCCATACACATCCATAGTTGCAGCAGCATATCAGGCATACCAATCTGCATAGTATCGGTGGTTCCCTGAGCCCGAACGTTAGCTGATGTTCTGGATTATCCTTCGGCCTAAGGCCTAAGGTCTACAAACAACAGATCCAGGAAACAAGCGAACAAACTCTTGAAGCTCAAGAAGAGGCTAAGGAGATTTACCAGTGTCCTGGTTGATCGTTGACTCGAACGTTTCAAAAGGTTCGCACTTCACTGAGTGAACAGGAACAATGGAACAAGACCTAATGACTAAGCACCCAAACAGGTGTGGGCCCAAAGCTCTCAGGGGTCTTTCGGTGGGAGGGATGATTTCACACCCAAGTCAGAAGGTGATTGGGTGATTGAACTGCTGGTTTTCTATGCGAAACCTTCAGATGCTTGCAACGATCACCAAACCTTTGTCTGAGGTGAGTGAAGATGTCCCAAATCTAAAAACCTTCTCTCTGGAAAGGGCCGAGTGAATGCTTAGCTGCTAAATTGCGTAGTTTTTGAGATACGCGAGGGTCCAAGTGTGGGTGAACACATCGACACTCAGGTGTGGCTGAGGACATGATGCACTCGCCAAAGATGGATCCCAAGGCACTAACAACATGCGGGCGCGCCGTTGACATGCGGAAGGAAAGAGGTGGACAAGGATGTGGAGGGACAAAGGGAAGGCACTTTTGCACTTTGGTCGATCTTCCCTCACGACACGTGAAATAGCTTTGAAGCAACGCGCGAAGTGTGGAGAGGTCCATTCAGACCTGGGCAGAACTCTGCTGAAGAAGATGAGCCATCCCTCTCTGTCGGCATTTGATGGTAAGTCACGAAAGCTAGCATCAGCTAGCTGGAGTTGCTCTTGCTTTAGCAAGTCAAGGGCTCGCAGCCTCGAGAATCATGAATCACGTGAAAACTTCACGTGTAGGGGGGGTTCAACTCCCCCTGGGACGCTTCCGGTACGTGCTATAGTGCTATGTTTAGGTGGCAGGTGAAGTAGGCCACTGTTTGAGTTTGGAAGGGGGGGCATGAAACATGAAATTTAGGCGAGGGTTCAAGGCTTCAATGATGAGCATCACGGGAAGTCAGAAACCAGGCATATCAGATACACATGCCTTTGAGCTTCCTTCGGCATCTCAGTGCATATGGCTGACACTTCACTCGACAAAGATGCTCAAACAAACATACATAAACCAGGTGTATCTGATACGCCTGGTTTGTGACTTCCCGTGATGCTCATGATGCTGCGTTGCTTTTCTTCAGTCCCTCATTACATATACATGACGATCCAACAGCAGATTCAACAAGCTCACATGTTCATGACATCGACATCGATAGAAGAAACCAAACAAATCATGCAAGCAGCTTTGTTTTGCCTCTGGGACACCTCTTGGGCACCTCTTGTGGCATCCACACTGGTTCAACTCCTCCGTGGAGGTTTTGGGATACGGATGGATACGGTGCAACAGATTCAACAAGCTCACAGGTTCGTGAACACATCGGATGCATCGAACAGTGTGGCAAAGTCCAGCCACGCTTCCTTAATTATCGGGGACTTCAATTCTAAGGTTGGCTGTGTCATTGCTGTTTGTGTGTCTTACATGTTCACAACGTTTTACCTCATGAGCATTTGCCTCACTCCGCTTGATGTCCCACCAGTCCGGATGCACCCCTGCTAGCTTTCGTCACCTACCCTCGGCCTCAAGTGTAAGATGAGGAGGATCCACTATCCAAGATCGTTGCCATAGTTTATTTTGTATAACTTTGTTCAAACTCACTTCCCCCTCCCGCCGAGCTGGCATGTCCTGGCCATGGCATCTCAACTGTGAGCGACTTCGATGGAACCAAGTTGTGATTGCAAAGTGCTCAATCGGTAGGAGTGAATAACTGAATCCCATGAACAAAACATGAACAGCCTTGGACATTGTCAGTTGCTTGAGCATCTCCCCTATTGCTGCCTGGCGGGTCGCAGGTGAGACACTATGCAGAGGATACTGCCAGCTATGTGGGGGGGCTCATAGCTTCCAGCAAGTCACAGCTGGGAGGAAACCAGTTGCGGCAGCCGCTCTGACTCACTGTCCAAGTAGGATCTGGGTTCTATTGTTGATACTTCCTCGGTTGTCTTCGATTTTGGCTTGACATCTGGTACTTGCAGGCTTCCTTATAGGCATATACATCATATATATATATATACACACACTATTTGCCAGTACACCCTTTTGCCGAAGCAAGTCTTGTCAGAACAGTCTCCAAGACTTGTGTGCCCAATCCGGGATAACATTTGACTTTCATGGGCCTGGGAGGGCTATCTAACACTGGTCCA